GCCGGCGGGCACGTGCTGTCGCTCAATTGCATACGCTGAAGAGATGCTCTGGCGTTCTCGTGTGACTTGAGCTCTTCTCGATATTGATCATTCGGATCAATTATTTTCGCAGCTACAATTTGTGTGTTGACCGCTTCCAGCCTGGCAGATTTAAGTTGTTCTTGGAGCTCCTGCTGTTCTTGAGCTGCCCTAGCTGTGGCGATCCTCTCTCTTTCTATTCTGGCCGCTGCAACCGCTGCGGAGGCTGCGTTAGCATCGACAGACTGACTGTTTGCCGTCATGACGGCTTGTCCTTCGGAGGCCATCATCTCGGCATATCTGCTCTCAGCTTCTTCTTCCGCGAGCCGCTTGGCGGCCGCGGTCTGATGGGGCATCTGTTCCACCAGTTCTTGTTCCCGCTTTCTGACCGCCTGGGCCATGGCGAGTCTCTCAGCCTCGAACGTCTTCCGAAAGTCCTCAACGACTGCGTACATTTCTTCTCTATCCAGTCGGGCTTTCTCTGCCCTCTGAGCGTCGCGGGCCAGAAATTATTGCTGGGTTTTGGCCTCAACATATCTAGCCTGGTTTTGCATCGCCTGGAGAAGAAGGTAAGTGCAATTGTGCTCTTCCATCGGCATGCAGTCTACACGCAACCATTGATTGCTACAGTTAGTACACACGTCTGAGCAATTTCTACACACTGGGCGTCTACAGGCTCCTTCAGGCTTGTGGGCTTTCCCCGGGCACCTGTTCGCCGCCTGGGGCGGGCAGTTAGGGCCATAGTTCCAGCATGTTTCGCGGGTGGATATCGCGCTGTTTCTCCTCGATGTAGATCGGGCTCCCGATCTGGGTATCTTGAGCCTTCCTCGGCTCGAAGCGTTCGATCTGGGACGCATGTGCGTGCTCTCTGGCGGTTTAGCCGTTTCGCGGAGCTCCTCATCCCTTTCATCTTGTCTAACTAATTCGTCCAGCGAAGCCGGGGGGTCGATCATTTCATCGTCCTCAACTACTATGGGCATCGACGGTTGCCAATCGCTTGGGGCGACGGCATTCCGATGAAACCCTTCCAAAAGCGGGGAGTCGTTCAAGTCATAATCCTCATTCCTTTGCTTCTTTCGTTGAGGGGCGTCGTTGAGGGGCGGGAATTTGTCCTGTGATCTCCCGGTCATGCTTCGCTTGCGTCGGACATTCCGTTTCTGCCTCGACCGCCTGGGGCGTCAGGTCGCTTATCTCGCTGTCCGAATCTGGAATTGCGAATGCTGTCCCAAGGGCTTCCACTTGATCGTAATCAATCGTATCTTGCCCGGGGGACCCCCTCTCGTCTTGGACGGGGTGGTCGGCATCCATTATTGAGGACAAATCTCGGCCGATTGACACTTGATAATTGGCATACTCGATGTCATTCTCCATGGAGTCAATATCGTTTCCATCATTCAACTGTTCGTCACTGTCTTGGCCGGTCTGTCCGTTCAGAACTATCGGGATAGGGTGAACCCTTTGTGCGTTTCCCCATCCGTCAGGGACGGTGGGGTATACGCCTCTGGGCCTTTCAGCTTCTCCTGACCCACTGGCTTGGCCAGCGGCCGGTACGACAGTCCGCGTGGCAATCGGGCTGGAGTTTACCGTTTCCGAAGATACGGCAATTAACGATCTCGAGAAAACTCCTCGTCTGATCTTTACTGTTGTGCCGTCTCGCCTCGCCGGGTCTGGGGTCTGCTCACGATCTCCGATCGGAATCCGAGAAAGAGAACCGTCTCTGGACAAATCCGCCGACCCCTTGGGGATCATCGGCGTGTGAGATGCTTCCCCCTCCCCAAACCCCTCCCCCGGGAGCCCGGTCCGGTCGACCTGGAGGGGGGGGGGGTCCAGCGCGAACGGGGGGGGTCCGGGACGAGCGGGGGGGGTCCGGGACGAGCGCAGCACGGCCGGGACGAGCGGTTCACGGGGCTTTTCCGGGCCCAAGAGGGCCTCAAGACGGGCCAAGAAGCCCCCAAGAGGCCTCCAAGACGGCCCACGAAGGCCCCGAGACGCCAAACGACCGCTCCAAGACGCCCAAGATGGCCCCAAGACGGGCCAAGAGGTCTCCAAGACGGCCCCCGAGGTCCCAAACAAGCCTCCCAAGAGGGCCCCAAGAGTCTAAAATTGTTGATTTTCCATAGTGTTTTTCGATGTTTTTTGCTTTTCCGCCTTTTCGGCTTCCCGACGCTCCAAGACGGCCAAAGAGGCCCCAAAGACAGCCCCAAGATGGCCCAAGAGGCCCCCAAGACGGCCTCCAGACGGCCCAAGACGGCCCCAACACGGCCCAAGAGGTCCCCAAGACGGCCCAAGAGGGCTCCAAGACGGCACCAAGAGGGGCCCAAGACGGCGACCAAACATGTTGAAACTCTAGCTTTCTGCCCCCAGGAGCCCCAGGGGGCCCCAAGAGTGCCCCAAGAGGCCCCCAGAGGCCCTCACGAGGCCGCCCAGACGCCCCAAGGAACCCCCAAGAAGCACCCCAGAGGCTCCGAAACGGCCCCCAAGTGGCTCCAAAACTCGCTTCCAGAGGCCCCCGAGAAGCGATCCGCGAGATCCCGATACACATACAAGAAGCCTCTCACCCATAACCCATAACCCAGAGCCGTTTCTCCGTGTCCCCCTTCTCCTCCTCCTCCTTTTCCTCCACCTGGGCCCCCAAGTGGTTCCAAACTGCCTGCCATAGGCCCCATGCCGGCACACCCTTTGCACGCGCCGTGGCCTCGCACATGGCCAAGTTGACCCATCATGACTCCTGGGCAGTCCCCCCAAAAAACTCCCGACCGCTACCGAAACGGCTCGAAGACATTCCCGAGCCCAACCTGGCTCCATTATGCCTCTCAGATGGCCCCAGATGAGACCACGACCGCCCGCGGTGTCGCCGTCCGCTCGGACCCCCCCGCGGAACTGCCCGAGACCCTCTGGCGGTGGCGGCGAACAGACACCAAACAAATATCACTCGCCTTTTCACCCCTTCGCAGCTTCTACTACCCCCAGATTGGCATAAACAAGGGGTCGGCGGTGTGGCGTAAGCCTAAGAATCACACTCAACACATCACACGCTAGACAAACATAACACACACACACAACACCTACAACGCACAGGAAACACGCACGACACAGACCACACATCACACACACACACACACACACACACGCACGCACACCACACACAATCCCGGGGCCTCCTGGAGCCTCTTCCGGTATCCAAGACGGGCCTCCTAAGGTTTCCTGGGGGGCCCTGGTACACACATCGCAAGGTGTGGCAACCCCACTTTCGCTCGAGTGCGACCTCGATCTTAGATTATTCTGCGTTCACCTCCTGCCTCTTCCCCTTCTCTTAGGCACGCCCTGGCGGCGCCGCCCCAGCTTCCCCTTCTCCATCTCCGATCCTGCAGTCATTGTGTCTTCCTGCTTCAAACGCCCTTTCAGTTTTTTTGTATGAGCCTGGGCACACACGTGCCACTTGTTTCGTGGCTCTCGCACATTCGTCTGAACATATTGCAACAGCTTCAAGGATGGAGGGCAGATCGTTTTCAAAATGTGGGACTTAGCGCAAGGCACATTCGTCGTGAAAGTTTCGCACTGTTTCAGAGCTTCGTACTGGTGAAATCCCAAGAATGGTGTTCTGACGCGACTTAAGACTGTCCGTACGCACGCAACCGACACATTGATTTCGGGCGCTGAAGTCCTAGGAGTGATGCTCTGGCACGGTTTAGGATTGCCAGGGCACAACAGCGCGTCTTGGATTGCACTGGTCCTCTTCCTACGAGTGCAACGGCGGTCTGTACGCTGGCGCAAAACGCTCCGCGACGACCTGGACAGCCGCCCCAGCTCCCTCTCCTCCTCATCCTCCTTCATCCCGCGAGTCCCTGAGGTCCTCCTCCTGCTCCTTCTCCTTCGGCCGACAACGAGTGGCGGAGACTGCGAGGCGGGATTTATCCACATCCACCGCTTGGGGAACTGACGCTCTGGGACATATCCACATCCGCCGCCCACCGAAGCCCCCGAAGATCGATCTCGCTCCTCAAATCGGCGAGCCTGGGGGGGAAGTGAGAGGGGGCGGGCCTTCCCTGAAAGCGGCGGGGCCTCTCGGAGGCCCATTTCGGCCTTCTGAGCAGTCTCCTGTGCCTCCAGGAGAGGCTTGGAGCACTTCTCAGAAGGCCAGAGGGCAGCCGAGCCTGCTGAGAAGGCCCGCCCCTTCCACCCCAAGCTAGCCGCGGCAGTGTGATCGTGCACGTCCGCGAAATCAGAGTCGCAGCGTTGCGCATCTGCCACGACCATGTGTGCGAGGCGCCGTCTGTCCGGCGCCTGGCCGACCGTGATGGGGGAACGAAGCATGACAGACCATCACAACTCGGAGGTCCGCGCGGATTTCTCGGATCGGCGCTGGACCCCCCTCCCTGGCGCGCGGAGCGCGCCAGAGGCGGCGCCGGAGGCGCCGCCAATGGGGTCCAGCGCGGATCCGAGAAATCGGCGCGGACCTCCGAGATCTTTTTCTGTTGCTGTCATTCTCCGCTCCCCCTGTGTGAGTCGTGCCACAGCGGCGGCGCTGCCGACTTCCCCCCCCCCCCCCAGGCCCTCCCCGTCGCTCGGACGTCCATTCCCTGGGCTCTCTTCGGAGTCGTGCGGGGCTTTTTCGCAGGATGCTCCAGGATAAGTCGGGCCTGTCCCCCTACAGGGGGATTTGACGAAAAATAAAAGCTACCCCCAAAATGCCCCAAAAAGGCACAAAAATACTCCAAAAATAGTCCCTAGACTAATTTTGGAGCATTTTCCGGCTATTTTTGGGGTCTTTTTCATTTTTCGTCGAAAATCCCCCTGTAGGGGGACAGGCCCGACTTAACTCCAGGATGCTCCATGAGAGTCCCCGCCGAGAAGAGGACACACGCCCGAGCGTCACCAAGAAGCCCGGCCGCCGATCCCAGGCCCCCACCGTGGCCACAGCGGAGGCGGCCGCGCAGCCCGGGGGGGGGGGGCGGCGGCCGCGGGGGGGGCTTGCGGCGCTCCTGCCACTGGGGCGCGCAGAAGATCCACTCTGCGCTGCCCTGGCCGCGCCGGGTGGCGGAGGGGGGCGGGGGAGGGAGGGAGGGGGCAGGGGAGGGGGGAGGGGAGGCGAGGGGGTGGAGGAGGTTGACGATGGTGTTGTTTGCGATGGCAATGGCGAAGACGATGACGATGCTGGTGCTGATGCTGATGATGATGCTGCTGCTGATGATGATGGTGATGATGAAGGTGATGGTGATGATGCTGCTGCTGATGATAATGCCGATGATGATCATTATGAAGGCGAGGACGACGGTGATGGTGGTGATGGTGATGATGACGATGACGTTGAAGATGAGGATGGCGATGGCAGCTACGATGACAATGGCAATGATGATAATAATGATGATGACGACGACGATGATGATGATGAAGAGGATTCCGCTGATGATGATAATAACGCTAATGATGATGTTGACGACGAAGATGCTGATGCTGCTCATGATGATGCTGATGGTGCTGATGCTGATGGTGACGATGATGTGATGATGGTGATGGTGGTGAGGATGGTCATGATGGTGGTGATGGTGATGGTGATGGTGATGGTGATGGTGATGGTGATGATGTTGGCACGTGATGGTGGTGGTGGTGGTGATGTTTCAACTGATGCTGCTGATGATGAGGAGAAGGAGAAGGAACTTTGCCGTCACCAGATGCGGCAGGACGGGTGCAATAGGCAACCATACTGTGAACCCTGCCCCTGCAGGTCAGATTTCTGAAATGCCGGTGGGGGTTTAGAACTCAAAGACGGTCTGCAACCAGATGGACCCCAACGGGGGCGTCCGACACCGCAACGTCGCTTGGACCCGCAGGGGCAGGGTTCGCAATTGGTCGAAGATCGACGCGCGCCCTGGAGGAGGAGGAGCAAGCCGCGGCCCCTGGCCCAGGACCCAGGCGATGGCAGAGCAAGCGAGGTGGAGACGAAAAACAGCATCACCGCGCCCTCCCTGCGCGCCTCGGCCACCTGTGGGCCACCCGAGGCGGAGGGCGAAGGACGAGGACGAGAGGGAGAGACGAGGGGGGCGCAGGACGAGGAGGATGGACCAGGACGAGGAGGAGCAGGAGGACGAGGGGGAGGGAGGAAAAGCTTGGCCGCGAGGGTAGAAGCAATGGAGAAGGCTTTTTAGAAGGAGGCTGCTTCTGATAAGGCGCCAGCCTCGCAATTATACATGAGGCCCGCGCCTTCGAAGAAGTAGCCTCCTTCTAAGCAGCCTTCCCCCCTACCCCTACCCCTCCGCCCCTCTCTGCGCGTGGCCGAACAGGGAGGGAGGACAAGGATGGCAGGGCGATGCATGGGAGATGGCCGCAGCACAGGGGCCGACGGGCTGCCACGGCGCGCCCGCAGCGCTGGCCCGCAGCGCGCCCAGCTCGCGGGGCCAGAGCTGCGGCAGACTGTGCCCGAGGGTAGTTCCGGAAGGTGTGGCTTGCAGAGGGTGTGGCTTGCAACCGGCACTCTGGCGGGCACCCTGGGGGGCGGTCGGGACCCTCGATGGAGCTCTCCGTCGCACCCCGAGGAGGCCCGACGAGGACAGTTTCGTGCACCCCAGGTCCCCACGTGGCCGATCGCAGACCGCACCCCAGCGCAACCGTACCCTCTGCAGTCGCCTTGGACGTCGCATCCCGTTCCCGGAGCGCTTTCGTGCCCGACGTTCGAGTCAGGGCCTCCAGCCCTCTTGGGGGCATCATGGCTAGGCCGACCGCGGCACGCCAGGCACGCTCTGGCAGCAGCTCGCCGCTTCCTGCGCAGCCACGGCCGGGAACTTTTTTTCCTAGCGCGTCGCTGCAGCGACCCCTGCGACACGCTATGCCCTGCGAGCGGATAACGCGCGTCACTGAGATTCGCGGGGCGACTCTCTGGGGAAGGCTCTGGACGTCGACGCCTGGGGACCGGGAGATGGAAAGCGTGTCGGCCCTGAGCTGGCGGCGCGACTCGCTGAGCTGGCCTGCGAACGAAGGGGCGAACGGCACGCCAGGCCACCACGGCCACGGACGGCGCCAGAGCAGAAGGCCAGGCGGGGAGCACCCGTGACGCTGGCGGGCCCTCTGGCGGAAGACGATGCGGGTCTCACTTGCTTTCGCCCGTTCGGCTCGATGTAAGATCAACAAGCGCCTCCGTGAGCCTGGGGGGGGGATAACGAGCTATTGCGAAAATCGCCATGATGGTAATGAGGATGATGAGGAGGGGAAGAGGGAAGAAGACGAGGATGTCGATGGGCTCGAAAAGAAAACACAACGCCCAGCATGTCGTGGGCACACACGCCTTAGCACATCTGCCATCACAACTGGCACACGTATACGAATGGGTCAAAGTCACGAGCTGTGACCGACATCTGGCCCCCCATCCCTGGCTTGCCCCCTCAGTAGCGCCGGCACCGCCGTGCCTCAGGGGGGAACCCAAAAATGGGAAGCACCACCCCCCGAAATGGAGGCGAGACCTAAGCATACGTCCCGGCGTTCCCCCATCCCCGCCCCAAGCGCGCATGGCAGGGAGAAAGACGAGGAGGAGGAGGAGGAAACGGAGGGCGGATGACGATGAGGCTGAGCTTGCTCACTCATCCCAGTGCAAATCGCTGAAAAAAGCGCGAGAATCCGCAGGACGACCGCCGAAATGGGCAATCAAAAGCCCATGGTCGAATACGTAAAATGTCCCTCTTCCTCTTCTTCCTCCTCCTCCTCCTCCTCCTCCTCCAGTCGTTTTCCTTGGAAAGAACCTCTCCCTGCCGCAACCCGAGGCCAGTTTTTAGGGCGGACCAGTCGTTTCGCCTGAGACTTCCGCACCATTGATGACACGGAAGCTTAACATGAACAAGTGCTTCACAGATGGACGGCAGGTCGTTTTCAAAGTGAGGCTCTCGCCGAAGCGCCGCCCACACACTCGTTCTAAGCAGTTGCAGGAGCTTCACGGATTGAGGGCGGAGCGTTTTCGCAATGTGGCTCTCGCCTTAGCGCCGCGCGGATTCGTTTAAACATGCAAGAGTTTCACGGGTTATGGGCGGTTCCTGTTCAACATGTGTTCTCGCCTTTAGCCCCGCGAACACTCGCTTTTCAATGTGCAAGCATTTCGCGGTTTCCCATGCTCAGCGCACCAGAAATCTCGCTTTGAAAGGATTCAGGATTATGAGGGTGCAGCAGTTATATTGGCTCGCGGTGTTGAAGTCCCAGGACTGGCGTTCTGGCATGATTCAGGACCGTCAAAACGCAACATGCCGCTTCATCCGTGGCGTTGGAATCCCGAGAACCATGTTTTGGCATGATTCAGGGTCTTAAAGCGGTTGTCTTCCAACGAGGAAGTTCCCTTCCTATGAAGAGGGAGATTGGAGGGAGGGTTTATTCCAACATCGTTGATGACTCTTGGGTTTACCCTGGTCCTCCTCCTCCCCCTCCTCCTCCTCCTCCTGCTCCTCCTCCTCCTGATGTCCCTATTACTCCTCATCCGCCTCTTCTGCCGCCTCCCCGTCTCCTTCTCATCGTCCTCCTCCTCCACCTCCTCCCCTTCATCCTCATCTTCCTCTTCCTTCTCCTCCTCATCCTCCTCCTCCATCTCCTCCTCCTCCTTCTCCTCCCCCTCCTCATCCTCCTCCATCTCCTCCTCGTCCGCCTCCTCCTCCTCCTCCTCTCTGCCTTCCCCTCCTCCTCCTCCTCCTCCTCCTCCTCCTCCTCATTCTCCTCCTCCCCCTCTCCTTCTCCTCATCCTCCTCCTTATTCTCCCAGTGACCAGCTTGGCTCGAGCCAGTTTTGCTCGAACCCCAAGCCAGCACCACAGGAGCTCCCCGCTCCGACCACGTCCTCGCCTTTCGCGCATCCGGCATGGAGCGGGAGCCCAGGCGCCGTCGTCCTAATCGCACTGCAGCTGAGCGCCGAGCTCAGTATGCTCGCGCGAACGGACGGGCGGTCATGAGGCTCCTGCACGCGTTCACGGAGGTGGAGCAGCACAGGGGCCAAGGCTTGACTCGCCTTGCCAGTGCGCTCCGCCAGACACTGGTTGCTGATCATGCTGACCCTGCCGATCGAGTCCATCCTGGGCCTCCCACTGGTCCGGCGCCCGAGGGCGACCTGGCTGGCGCATCGCCTGCAACAGCGGCAGCCGCCCCGCGCCTATCTCTCCCACCAGAGGCCCCGAGGGGATTGGCTGCTCTGGGTGGGGACAGCGAGGCGGTGCCGACAGGTGGTGCGATGAAGGGCGAAGCCCCAGTTGGCGACTCTCTACCGCAGCAGCAAGTTTCAGCGCCTGCCGACATGCAGGCTGGACCGCCTCCTGTCGACTTTCGCGAGAGGGTGAGCGGCGCGGGTTCGCACGATCCTCCACAGCAGAGCCCTGCCGACGTGGCGGCAGGCGCCGCGTGGCAGAGGCGGAGAGCAGCATTGGTAGCCGATGGTCTCCTTCTGGCTCAGGGGCGAGGAGCTGTTGCTGCAGCCGCTCCAGTTCGGCCGAGCAGAGGAGCCATCCCGATCTCGTGTGAGGCGGCTGCCGCGTTGAATCGGATGACGGCGCAGCCTGGGCAGCCACATGCAGCGTCGTCTTCGTCTCCTTCAGGCAGCAGCCCTGACAATTGCAAGCAACAGTAGCTGTTCACTTTCTCTGCGTATGCGGTTGGAATTTTCGCTCAGGCATTTTGCTGGGCCACCTCAAGAATGTCTGTCTCTTCAACATCGTATTCGTGGTCTTGGCAGCGCTGTATTCTGGCTGAGCCTGGCCCAGGCCCACTGGGCAAGCAAGGCGCCCCACTTTGTATGGTTCGCTTTTCCTGTTACGTGTGCCTCAATCGATGTGTCAGAAGCGGCAGAGTGGGTTTCATCTTGAGGGCAATATGCTAAGCGGTGTTTCGCGAATTTGGGCGCATTTATACTCTTTGGCATCGAAGGGGCCTTGGCTGCATTCTGGCTGAGCCTGGCCCAGGCCCGCAGGGCAAGCAAGGCGATATTAGTTTCTTTTGTGGGAATGTATGTTCGCTGTTTGCTTGGTGTCAAGATGCGTTCTGGTGGTCAGTTTGTTTTCAAGTATCTCATCCCGCCCCTGGGCATCGGCAGCTGGAGGGACATGAGCGTCACACGCAATATGGTGAACGGCTACTCTGTCCTGGTGCGGGGCTTCCTGATCGTCGCGTCCCTCGTCGTGGTCAGGGGGTGGAGTGCTCCATGTATATATTGCTTCGCAATCTCTCCGAGGTCCTCTGAGCGGGCGAGGCTTAATCGTAACCGACACAGTCGCAATATCCGTAACTCCGTAACTCCTCCTTATTCTCCCCCTCTTTAGCGAAAGCGCCCATCTGAGGGCCCCCGTTACCCTCCTCCCCGTCCTCCTCCATCCCTCCCGATCGTCCTGCTCCCCACCCCCATCCTCGCCCCCTCCCCCCGTCCTCACGCCCCCTTCCTCCTCTTCCTCCTCTTCCTCCTCCTCCTCCTCCTCTTCCCTCCTCCTCCTCCTCCTTCTCTTCCTCCTCCTCCTCCTTCTCCTCCTCCTCCTAGGGCAGTCACCTGTGCACCTACGCGACGAAGCAGAGCACCAGCGACGTGCAGGAGTACCAGGCGCGGTGGGGGGCCGCACAAACAACCCCCAGCCGGCGCACGCAGAGGCGCGCGAAGAAGCAGCATAGCCCCGAGCTGATGCAGGAGCAGCAGCAAGTAGCGGACGCAGGGGCAGTTCTCATCCTCGTGCTGGCCCGCGGCCTAGTCGCCCTCGCCGCGATTGAGAATCGAGCCTGGCGCGTGTCTTCCGCTCCTGGGAGGTCGGCCCCTGACTGCCACTTCCACGACGGATTCGTGTGCTTGGCCGAGATCTCCGTCGACGAGGACGGCAGCGCGCTTGGCTTGGGCCCAGAAGGCGAAGAGTATGAGTTCGACGATAGCTACGTCGTCGGCGGCGAGATGGTGTGGCTCCTGCAGTGCACCAAGGGATGCCGCCTTGCTACATGTACTCCGAGCTCTGCCTGGCAGCCAGCGAGGAGGAGCCAGGCCGCAGAGGACCCCAGCGTGGCGAGGGGTTAGGCCACAAGGGCCCCCAGCGCGGTGAGGGGTTAGACCGCACCGACCCCCAGCGTGGCGAGGGGTTAGGCCACGGCAGACCCCAGCGCGGTGAGGGGTTAGACCGCAGCAGGCCCCCGCGTGGCGAGGGGTCAGGCCCCGGAGGGCCCCAGCGCGGTGAGGGGCCAGACCGCAGCGTGCCCCAGCGTGGCGAGGGGTTAGGCCACTCAGGACCCCTGCGCGGCGAGGGGGTAGGCCGCAGAGGACCCCAGCGTGGCGAGGGGTTAGGCCACAGCCCAGCGCGGTCCCAGGAGCAGCGCAGAGCCGAGGAGCGGCAGCAGCCGTCCATCAGGCTGCTCCTCGGGCTCTGAGCGCGAGGCGGCAGCATTTTTGTCAGTCTGCCGCCGCTCGAAGGGAGACTCAAGGAGTCAGCAGTGAGGCGGCAGCAAATAGCCGTGTGATGAGGCCGCTGGCCCACCCCGCCTCGGGCGCGTCGCCTGCGCGGGGTGCCGAGACCAGGGGCACCCACTCACGGGCGAGAGCACGCGGGTTTAAACTCCTCCTCCTCCTCCTCCTCCTCCTCCTCCTCCTCCTCCTCCTCCCTGCATTCCCCCTTCCTCCCTCCTCCTGCTACCTGCTTCCTGATGGCGGGCGAGCTCCCCGATCGCCGCCCTCCCCCCCCCCCCACCCCCCTGGGCTGGTCGGCCCTGGGGGATTGACCAGAAGAATGCCAGGCGACCCGTGGAGCTCAGCTCGAGGGATTGCCGTCTGGCTCCTTTGCCCCTGGTGGTGCTTCCCCCTTCCGCTGACGTCGCTGCCCTTGTCACTGTAAGCCTGGTTCCACCGGGGGTCGGGGTGGTCCTGGGCCGACCGGTCAGTCATCAGCGAGCGAAGAACAGTATAAAATAAACTTTTTGCTGTCGGGGGCGCCTGTCCCTGGGCGGCTGGAGAGTTTATACCCCTACGGTGCCACCGTAAAGGTATAAACTTTCCAGCCGCGCTAGGACAGGCGCCCCCGACAGCGAAAAAGTTTATTTTATACCGCTCTCGCCCGTTAAAGTCAAGTTGATGTGGTTCCTCCACCGCTCGAGGCCTACCCGAATTGCCGGCGTGGCAGGTCGCGACGTCGGCCTTCTGCTTCGAGGGCGGCTCGGCGTCGATCTCCACGGCGGAAGTGTTGTTCCTGATCCACTCGCGTTTGATTCCCATGAGGCTGCCATTGTGGAAGCTCGAGGTGGATGTCGTGGTGGTTGTTGTTGTGCGTTGCCATGCGCCTGGAGAAGCTGGCGAACCGAATCGAGGTGGTGCTGTATGCGCTGGTCCAGTAGGTCGCGTGCTGATGCTGCCCGTAGTGACGTACGTGCTGATGCTCGTCGCACTCGTGCTCGTCGACGCCAGGCTGGCTTGGCTGCTGACGTAGTGCCCGTGGTTGCCGTGCAGGTAAATGCTGGTGCTGCGTATGCAAAATACATGCAGCGTGCCGAAGTGGATGTCGCGTACGAGAGAAAGAACACGGATGTAAGAGATGTGAGAAATGGAACTATTATTAAGAAGGATGTACTGTAGACGATCGTGGCCGTGTTCACGGCGCACTTAGCCTTCAACGCGCCTCAACCTCTCGGGCGGTCGCGGCTCCCTCATCCTACTCATCCTCCTCTTCCTCCTCCTATCTCCATCTTCGTCCCTCCCACTTACCACCTCTCCCTCCCTCACCCCTCCTCCTCCAAGCGCCGCCGACAGAGCTGCGGCGGAGGCCGCCTGTGCCGGCTGATTGAGCACCCTGCGCGCGGCCTGCGCCCATCGCTCCGGCCTGCTCGGGTCCGCGGGCGACGACGAGAACGTCGTCGACCATCTTGCTAACATGTGACCTGAAAAACTGTTGCGGCCTTCGTTTGCCTCTCCCTCTCTCTTGTGCCTGCCCACTGCGTCTATGAACCAACCCCCTTCTAGGAGGGTTCTTGTCAAACTTGCTCCTGGGGCGAACACTCAGCAATGCAATCTGTTTGCGCACCGCGCCGACATGGCCGTCATGCGAGCTAAAGCGTCCGCAGGTAACTCACCAACTTAAGTGATGTGTGACAAAGTCCCAGTAGAGAGCGCCGAGTTTTGGAGCTTCCAGGGTGTCTCTGAGTAAACTGTGAGGGAGTATCGAGACGGAGCATTGTTGTCTCTGTTGGGATATCACAGAGTTGAATGAGCTGCGAAAAAATATCGGGCGAAAACGCCATTTCTGAATGATAGTGTATCCGACCTGGGGGAGAATCGAGCGGAAGCCGCTGTCGTCGCAGATGGACCTCCAACAACTTGGCTCATTGCGAGGACGACGCCTAAGGCGAAAGCGCCGTTCCTGAGTTTTTGTTGGGCCCCTCTGGCCAGGGCGCCTCGGAATGAACTTCGAGGGCGTGTCAAGGGGGGGGGGCGTTGTCGTCAGAGCGGTGCTTCCCGAACACTTAACTGAATTACGAAGCATCCTGAAGCGAAGGCGCCCGCCGTTCCTGGCTTCTGGGCACGCTCCGGCCAGGGCGTGTCGGAAGAAGTGAAGACATGTCGAGCGGGAGCCGTTGTCGTTGTAGTTGGGCCTCCAAGAGGTTCCCTGATTTGCGACGATGCCTCGCGCAAGAGCTCCGCTCCTGAGTTTTGCCCCCCCCCCCCATCTGGCAGAGTCGTATGGAGGTGAATTGCGGGAAGTGTCGAGCGGGAGCCGTTTGTCCTCGCAATTGGGCTTCCACCAACTTGACTGACTTGCGTTGAAGTCTAAAGCGAGAGCGCCGTTCCTGGCTTCGGGTCCCTCTCTGGCCAGGGCGTGTCGGAAAAAATTGTGAGGACATGTCGGGCGGAACCACGGCGGGAGCCGTTATCGTCGCAGTTGGGTCTCCAACAACTTGACAGACTTGCGTTGAAATCTAAACCGGGAGCGCGTTGTCTGAGTTTCGAAACCTCTCTAACCAGAACGTATCAAAATAATTTGTGACAGAAATAAAGCTCAAGCCATTCTCGTCATAATTAAACCTCCACCAACTTGGCTCCATTGCGAGGAGGCTTAAAGCGAGAGAGCCGTTCCTGAGTTTTGGGCCCCCTCTGGCCCAAACGTCTCAGACAGAATTTCAAGGCCGCATCGATCGGGAGCAGGGATTAGTCGTTGCAATCTGGCCTCCAACAAAACGCACTTTGGGATGCAGGCCCGCGCTCGAGCGGGAGCATCGGCTTCAAAGACAGTGCAGCCGGCGTCGAGGCGAGAGCGCCCTGACATCACCAGTTCATGTTCAACGACGACTGGGGAGAGGAGGGAGGAGGAGGCACACCCCGAGAAGCGTCCACGTCGTCAGGCTGCAGCCGAAGCCAGACGATCGCAAGCGCGGAGAGCCCTCGCCAAAGGGGGGAGGCGGGAAGAGCAGAGCAGAGCAGAGCAGCGCCGATGATCCGATGAAGTCAATCGCCTTGAGACAACCGCACCCTGCAGGCCCACAAGGAAAACAAAAAACGGATCAGGCGTTCGAGAACCACTTGAGGGGCCCGGGATTCTGTGGGGCCCTGCAGGGGGATACCACTGGCATACGAACGAGACCCCCTTATCGGGAACTCCTAGGGGGCTCGCCTATGCACTCCCTCCACTGAACAGGGCCGAGGGACGGCGACGCATTAAACCGACCCCAGCACAACCCCTTTCAGCCCTCCTCGACACGGCGCGGCACGGCCCAGACGTCCGAGGTCCGCAGGGAACCCGAGAGACGGCCCTCGCCCCAGGAACTCGAAGCCAACCGAAGCTGGCGGGAGGCCTCCGAAAGCCTCTGAAGCGTCTCGGCGCCGAGGGAGGCCTGAATGGGGGGGGTCCTAAAGAAAAGTCTAACCTCCAGGGCCCCATCCGAGTACTCGAGGATCGGGGAGAGGGTCCGAGCCTGGAGGGCGAGGAGGGTTCCGTCTGGGAGGCGGCCCTGGAGGTGCAGCTCAGCGGTGCGGCGTGAGCCATTAACGGATTGCAGCCTGAAGCGTGCTGGTCGACTCAGAGCTCGTCTTCGTCCTTGTCCCTGTCGTCGGGCGCCGCTGCTGGTTTGTCCTTCATCCCCAGCTGCGCCAGCAGCTTCGAGGCCTCGCGTTCCAAGCCGCCTCTCGGCGGCGCCCCAGGGAGAAAGCGCACGGTCTGGTCCTTCTTGTCTGTGCCTGCCGCCATGACCGTCTGCTGAACCGCCTCCATCAGGGAAGCTGCGCCGTCGCCCCATGGGTTCGCCTGTTGCGGGATTCCGAGCATGATCTGGAGCTTGAACCTGTCGGGCTTGGAGAGCTTCTTCTTGTCGTACCAGCAGGCTTTGAGTCGGAAGTGGCGGCAGTGGATCGCCAGTGTCTCGAGCGCCGACGGGGCGAGGATGACCTTCCGCCAGTAGTCCTGGAACACCGTCTGCGCTGCCGCTGGAGTCGTGTTGGCCCCGTCCGTGCTGCAGGCCCACTTGATGAACGCCTTGAACACGTGCGGCCAGGGGGGGCCGTGCTGGTGGTCCTTGCCGTCGGCCTTGCAGTTCTCGGCGTACGTCCTGCCCGTCTCCTGCAGCACCTTGACGAACGGAACCTCTGCCCCGACCATGTACGAGGTGAAGCAGGCGCCAGTCACCTCGGCCAACTCGCGCGCGTTGGTGAGAGCGAGCTTCGTGAGAACCACCAAGAGCGCCGCCGGCGCTCCTCCCTTGCCGTTCTTCTGGTTGGCCTGCGCCTCCTGGCCGAGCTCCGCGGGCAATCGGGCCTGCTTGGCACCCTTGGAGTCGCTGGTCCCCTGGCCCTTGCGTTTCCCGACTGCCCAGCTGGGCTCGTCGAGATCCATCACCTCCAAGCACGAGCGGGAGGCCCTCGAAGTGGATGCGCGTATGGAGGTGAAGAGCAGACTCGGAAAGAACTTGAGCCTCACATAGGCGGCAACGGGATGGGCCTGTCGACGGAGAGAGCTCGAGAGTCGTGCTGAGCTGAACCTTGCAGAAGCCCGAAGCGAACGAGTCCAGCACGTGGTTGTAAGCCGAGTTGCGAGACTGGAACCTGCTGCCACAAACGAAGCACGAAGCGCCCTGGACAGCCTCAGCCAACAAGGTTTTGTAACCATGAGCGGCCCGAACGTGAACCAGCCACTGACGTTTCGTGAGGAACCATTTGGCGCAGTTCCCGATGGAGCAGCGAAAGCCCTCACCTTGTCCTGCGGGGATCTCAGGTGGTGCCTCTTGATGGGGGCCAGAGGTGCCTGCAGGGGGGATGCTGACCGAGAGCCACGCGGCCCTGACGACAGAGAGGTCCAACTCCGTGAACCAGTCCCGCAAGTCCCCCTCCTCGAGAAACTCCAAAGGGGCTCCTGACCAGGAACGCATATCCTCCTCGGTGTCCGCAGACGTCCTCCGAAGCGCCTCGAAGTCCCTGACGTACTGGATGGCCCAGGGGTTCGCCGTCTCCGTGAGATGGCCCTCGGGTGTAAGGGTTCGGAGGCCTCGCAGTTTCTCGATGTTCATGTCCCCGAAGAGAGGGGCCCACTCGCCTAGATGTCGCGCGGGCTCTCGAGCCCATTGCTGGTGCCACCGCAAACGTCTGACACGGAACTCGATTTCGAGAGGAGGGACCCGCCAATACCTCAAGACCGCCTCGGAAGGGACCGAACGAGCATGGCCCCCCTCCCAAGACGTCGCGGCACCCCTCATAGCTTTGCGCCCGAAGAAGACGACCCGCGCCGTGAGCTGGTCAATCTGGTTGGGGGTCGGCAGGAAGGCCTCGCAGGCGGAGCACGCAGGACCCACAACCCTGGCAAGGAACACAGCGCGGCGCTCGGTATAGGCGATCCTCCGAGCGTACCAATACTTTCCCATAGAGAAGAAACCCGCAGAGATGGCCGCCAGGCGGGCCGAAAGCTCGGCCCGAAACGAACAGTTACCCATGACCTGGCCTCCAAGATGTCGGGTTGAATCGGCTGGGACCCCTGCGAGAAGAACCTTTTTTTCCGCCACTTCTCGCCGCCGTGCATGGAGCCCCGTGCCCACGAAGGACAAGAGGCTGACGTTCTTAGCCGGGTTGAGCGCATAGCCGTGACGTCGGAGCTCAGACGAAAGAAGCAAGTCATATGCTCGGGACCACCGCGCGAGCTCCGCGGCCGTAGCCTGGTCAGGCGGCACCACGATCTTCCGAATGGCGTCATCTACGTATGAGTGAAAAGCCAAGTCCAGAAGAATCTCCTCGCCATCAAAATTGAGCGCGAGCTGGCACCAGGTAGCCGTCTCGGGGCCGAACTCCGCAAACTGTTCCTGCACCTTCGCAAAGACGGTGCTGATGTCCCGAACAAAGACCTTCACCGCCCACGGGTCGCCTATGAGAGCCCCGACGCTGGGGCGCACGCAGAGGTCGCCAAACATCACGGCAGCAAAGCGGAAGCGCTGGCGGCCGAACGAAACCTGGTCGTCCTTCATGATGCTCTGGTTGGCGGCTGCGAGGCTGTCCCAGTTGGTGGACGCGAAGGCGTTGGTAATGTCCTTGAGGTCAGTGACGTGATTGAGGCCGAGAGAGCGCAGCTTCCATGTGCACAGCTGCTGGCCCAGGATGGCCGTCTCTCTGCGCCGATGAGGTATACAGCCGTGAGCGAAAAGGGGTTCGTCCTGGAGCTGATGCGGGTCCATCGCCGTGGCCATGAAGCCCTTGCCGAAAGGGTCGAGGAGGTGAATGACTCTCTTCCAGGTGAGCGCCACTCCTTGGCTCAAATGCCACACGAGCGGGACCTGACCTGAACGTCGGGGCCTGTGGAGGAAGATCACCAAGAAACGCCACGTATGCTCCTGATCGATCTGCGGTGTCTCA